ACTACTACTACTACTACTAGTACTACTACTACTACTAGTACTACTGCTACGGCTACAACGACTACAACGACTACGACTACTACGACTACTACTACGACTACTACTACTACTACTATTACTACTACTATTATTACTACTACTACGACTACTACGACTACTACGACTACTACGACTACTACTACTACTACTACTACTACTACTACTTTCCATACGTGTCTTCCTCCTCCTCCTCCTCCTCCTCCGCCACGTAGCAAAGTACAAGCGCGCGACATATTGTCGGGCTGGTCGGGCATAAGAGCGGCCGCGTGGCCGCGTTTAGAGAAAGCCCTACAGAAGCCCTCACCCCCTCCCTCGACATTTCTCTCCCTCCCGTTCCCTCCATCGCTTCCCTTCCTCAACCTCTCCATCTTTGTCCTTGCCACCGTCATCGCCATCATCAATGCCACCTTCGCTACTATCATCATCGTCGCCGCCGTTGTCGGCGTCATCATGACACCGCGCCCGCCCGAACCACCGACACGCATTGAAGCGCCCGCGCGCCAGCGCGGCCTTTCACGCGCGCTGGAAAGTCGGTGCGCGCCATCGCGGCCGCATCGGCTGCGCGAGCTTGCGCGCGCCACCGCGGCCGCAGAACTGCGCCAACCATGGCCCAACAATGACCGCAATCGCCGACACATGGGCCAGCATCGTTCTCGACATCGTCACCGTCGCCTGGTGAGGCTTTGACGGCCAAGGTCCGGGTGGGCGGGTGGGATGTTTTTGCGAGCATGCGAGGTGGTCACTCGAGCTGGCAACTCCAAGTTCTTCAACATGATTTGAACGACATAGCTCACACAACATAGCTTGCACCACATAGCTCACACCACATAGCTTGCACCACCTAGACTCCATCACCTAATCTGCTATAATCCACTGTTTGGAGTTCACGCTTGTTAACATTGTGGTTTACAATATGGCCGTCTTCGGTTCTTTAAAATGGTGGTGCTGCTGCTGCTGCAGCGTAAGGCGCTTCACCCCCGTCCTTCGGAATGGCACTCTCGCCCCAGCGCGGGCCACGTTCCTCGATCTGAGCCCTGCTTCATCGTTGTCGCCGCCCCCCTCCTCCTCCTGCTCCTCCCGCTCATTCCACTCCAGTTCCCGCTGCTGCTGTTCGTCCTCGTCCTCCTCCTTCCTCCTCCTCCTCCTCCTCCTCCTCCTCGTCCTCCTCCCCCCCTTGTCACGTCCACATGCTCCTCCTCCTCCTCCTCCTCCTCCTCCTCCTCCTCCTCCTCCTCCGTCTCCCCCTCCAAATGTACGCAGCTGCCCCTTTTCGATTACGCATGCCACGATAGGGGCGTTCTGGGTTCCAATTCTGCTATGGCACGCGTCCGCGGATAGAAAACAATGCATTGGGAAGGGATGGGTGGAAGGGGTAGGATGTCAGATATGACGCGAGCGCGCCCAATTCGCCTCCTCGTCCCCCTCCCTGCCCTTTCCCCCTCTCCCTCTCCTTGCCTCCCGCCCGCTCCTCTTCCCCCCCGCTCGCGATCACCTTCCCCCTTCCCCCTCCCTCAATGCAACACTGGGGAAACCAAAAGGTACCGATACTGCTACTCCCTGGACCTCTCCGGCGGTGCGTTCTGACCAGATTTTCGAAGCGAAATCAGCGGTGGCGACGAGGGCCTCCCAGGAGGCCCGAAGAGGCGAAAACGAGGCAAGGTTAGCAGTCCTCCTTCTTCTCCTCCTCCTCCTCCTCCTCCTCCTCCTCCTCCTCCTCCTCCTCCTCCTCCTCTCCTCCTCCCCCTCTCAATCATTCTCGCCCCTGCTACTCCTCCGCCTTCTCCTCCGTCCATCCGTCTGGTCGTCCCGCCCTCCCCCCTCCTCCCCTCGCTCCCTCCCGGTCCTCCGCCCTTCGGCGAGGCAAGGCCTGGTGGCACGGCCTCCTGAGGCGGAATCCGCGCCACGCCACGGGGACTTGGTCCATGCCGCGCCTCAACACTTCGCGGGAAAACCCAGGAGGGCTCCGTGGCACCTCGTCAGAACTACCCCGTCGGGAGAGGTAGCAAAATGGGGGGTGGAACGGAGCGGAGGGAAGGAGGATCGGTCGGAAGATCATCCAATGCATTAGGGAAGGACGAGAAGCAGGACGGGAGCTGGACGAGGGACGAGGAGGGCGAGGAGCAAGCCAAGCAGGACGAAAACAGGATGGGAACCGGGGGGGCAGGAGCAGCGGGAACGCGAAGGAGAGAGCGGGGAGAAGCTCTGAAGGGGAGAACGGCGGCAGTGGAGGGGCAGCAGCGGGAGCGGGGACGAGGAGCAGCGGCAGCGGCGGGGGCAGGAGAAGCAGGCGCTGGAGGGGAAGGGCAGGAACTTGTTTGTCAGCGGCGCCTTGGTTCCAAGACGCGATCGGGACAGCCGAGGGTCGGAGCCGAATTGAACAAAGGAAGGGAAGGCGCAGCAACACCAGAGGCAAGAACGAGAAGACGGTTGGGGCGCAGGGCGCGAACTGAACCGTACTCTCCATTCGCGGTTTGTGTTCGTGCTTCCTCGTTCTGGTTTCCGCCCGCCCATGCTGCAAAACGGGATGACAAAACACGAAGACGGTCCACGAAATCGCCAACCAACCATTTGGCTCGCGCCCTGTGGGGGTGCCCCTGAGGAAGAGAAGAAGCAGGATTACGATACTGAATACGATGACGACGACGATGAGCTAGCGGATGCTCAAGCATGGCGCTGCTTGCTGATGTTAGCCAGACTCAGTGGATGAACTATGGGAGCCAGGGTTATCTCTGGCCGCCGCGGGCTGTGCATTGAACCACGGCGGCCTGTCAAAGCTGGCAGTGATGCGTTACTAGGCGTGCTCCGCATCGTGAAATGTGTGCGGTTGAGGCGATGCATGTGTTTGAAGCCGCAGTACAGTAGCGCTGCAACGCAGTGCTGCTGAAGTGATACTGGTGGTGATGGTAATGGTGCAAGTGATGGTGGTGGTGATGTTGCAGATTATGGTTATGATACTGACGAGACGATGACGATTGCTGAGGATGCGGATGGTGGTGATGGTGAGGGGAAGGAGGCGTAACCAGGAGTCACCACTGGGGACCACGTCCCTCAACACAATCGGGCTCCCCAGAGTGGCGCCAGCTGCCACTTCCGCCACCTGGGAGCCCAGGTCCCCCCTGGGTTTGCTCTCTGGCGCTCTTTGCAGCCGCCAGACGGCCAAGCTGGCCTCCAAGACGGCTTCTAAGATGGCCAGGACGACGCAAAGAAGGCCCACGACCACACAAGAGGCTCTCAAGATGGTCTCAAGGCCACCCAAGAAGCCTCTAAGGCGGCCCAAGAGGGCCCTCCAGGAGAGCTCGAGAAGGCAACCACAATTGATTTGCCAATGGTGTTCAAACGGATTAAATCTCGCCTGTTCGGGTTTGCGACCGCCAAAGATTGCCCAGGATTCCTCCAAGATAGCTCCAAGGCGGACCAAGAGGCCCCCAAGAAGGTCCCGAGTTAGCCCAAGCGACCTCGAGAAACATCCCAAGAAATGCATCCAAGAGGCCTCTGGCCCGCGGAGGCGCCCCGAGCTCTCGAAATGATACCACGCTCCCCCGATAAGGGCAGCTCCCCTGGGCATCATTCCTGGATGGACTGGCGTTAAGAAATCAAACTCACTCCTGCTGCGCTGTTGCACGGGCGCGGTGGCGGGGCTTGCTGCAGGCCGCTGGATATGGAAAGGAGGACGAGGAGCTAGTGGAACACGAGCAAGAACAGGGGCGAGAGAAAGAGATGAGGAGGAGGTGCCGGAGAAGGAACACCATCAGCAGGATGGGGGCCAGTAATGATGATGTTGAGGAACAAGCAGGGAACGCAAGACGAATCTATGGCCGTCGAAAGAAATCAATGATAACTGCAGCCATGCAGAAGGAGTGCTTCGTGGCATCTCCTGCGTTACTCGGTGGTGCAAGCGCCTTGACTTGCTCAGGAATCACTCACCGAGGTAGCGAGGCAAACGGGGATGGTGCCATGACACATCGGAAAGACATCTCCCAGGAAGCAAACGCGTACACCATCGCTTCCCTTCCCCTCGTCTTGGGCAAACTCCCGCCTTCCTCTCCTTGTTCTTCCTGCGCTCACTTCTCCTCCTTCAACGAGATCCGGGTCGATGCTTTCGAAACATGGGCCACGGGCAGGGGGACCTCTCGACACCTGCCCTGGGGCCGGCTTTTCATCCTAGGTCACCTTGGGTTGTTCCAGGCCCTGAAACCGACCGTCCAGACCCGAGAACACAGGTTGTCTCGATGTGTTCGAGCCTCTGGATGCCTGCTCATTCGCACTGCCTCTCACCACCCTGCCCGCTGCTTCGCGCTTCCTCCTCCCTCCCTCCCCAGCCCCCTTGCCCGCTGCTTCGGCCAACCCCCAAGGCCACTCCTGTGTCTCTTCACCGAAGGGGGCGCGTGGTGACGGTGACCGTCGTCGAAGGCCCGAGCGGGCGCCCGATTTTGCGCCCCAAATTCTGCGGCACGGGCGCCTGGTAGTTCCTGGGAAAACCAAGAGGTACCGAGACCGCTACTCCCCAGACCCCCCCCAGGGTGCATTCGGAGCAGAATCTCGAGGCGAATCCATCCGCGGCAACGAGGGCCTCCCAGGAGGCCCAAGAAAGGCAAAAGCGAGGCAAGAGCAGCGGTATTGGTGCCTTTTCCTCCTGTGAATCATCGCCAAACTTCGGCTGGCAAAACAGGCGCGCGGCACAGCACACCTACTTGGGAACCGCGCGAAATTACATTGAGGTATCTGGTCCCTGTCCCATGGGGCTTCGCAGAAACACCACTGGCCAACGCTGAGTCTAGAACTTTCCGGCGGGTCCTGAGGGCGGCAGGTGTTGGGAACCAATGCCCCAACTTGCCCCTGCGCGGTAGCCAAACATGACATAGCACAGTGGGACACAAGGGGTATGTTGCTGGCCCCAACTGCGCGGCGATGCGCTGCCCCGGCTGCGCCCCCCGGCTGCGGGGCGCCCCGCCTCGACGCACGACGCGCCATGCGCCAGCCCCACCGACTTCCATGAGGGTCGCGAATGCACCAGAAACGCCGGCGCGGGAAAAATCCGCCGACCTTTCGGCGTGGGGAAGACGATGTCGCCGTCGTCGGTCCCAAGGGAAATGAGGAACAAGGAAAAGGAACGTCAGAGGCACCGGCCGTGAGGCCCTCGCAATGGGGGCCCACGTCGAGCCGCATCGCCGATGCATCGGCAATGCGGCACGACCGTCGGGCCCAGACTGCTCGGACCCCGCCCAGAAAGGCTGGAGTGACCGCCGCGGCGCCGGCTGCAGAGGGCAGAGGGGCGTATCGCGCCTTCCCCCCCCCGCGCGCACTGCTGCCACGTGGACGATCGCACCGTGCGATCGCGCGCTCAACGGGGGACGCGCGAATGCCTCGGCACGTGCGCCGCGCCAGGCGCTGCGAGTTCTATACTCGCTGCAAGCACTCATGGACAAGCGGCTATGACGTCAGATTGACACGCTGAAGGCCGCCTGCCTGCCGAATGTTGTTAGAAGCTTAGAGGCTGGACCTCCCACCCCCCCACGACCCTGGCACCACCGCACGGAGCGCGACGGCAGCGGCGCGAAGGGGGGCAGGGGGCACCGCCATGGGGTTGCGCCGAGGGGCTGCCTGGCGCCGGGCCGAGATCAGACCAAGAGAAGTCTGCACAATGACAGCAGACTTTCGCAGGTCTGCGCGGGCCTCCGAAGCTTTCTGCAGACGCAGGTTTTTCTCCTTCGAAGGGTGTCCGCGCAGCCTTCCGAACGCTTCCGCTCAGGGTCGCTTTAGGGTGCGGTGATCGGTGTTTGAAGCAGGGGCTACACAGCTGCGCCAACCGACCTGTCCGAGGAAGACAGGCCGACCTCGACAGACGTGGAGCACCTCGATGCGCAGTTGCATGGAAGTTGCCATCTCGAGCGTTTCTCGCTGACTACTTCCGCCCAGAGGGCAGTGAAGCGAGGGAGTGTGACCTGGCTGTCAGAAGCTGGAAGGGATGCGGACAACATGTGTCTGTTCTACGCTTTTCCTTTGCGCACGCACCGTCTGGTGCAAGGCTCTACCCGACCTGACTTGACCTTTCGGTGGCAACTCATGTGAGCCTCCCATACCATCTTGTTGGCTCTTGCGACATCGACGCCAGTCGACGCTCATCGACATCAGCCCGAAGCTAATCAACTCTTATCGATGCTAAATCGGCGCTGTCTCATCCATTACGAGTGGCAGCCGATCTGCGGTTAAACGCGAGTTCCTGTATGTGTGTATATATATATATATGTGTGCACATGTATAATCAAGACTGCATTGGCGCTTCGCGCCGTTCACCTTGGTCCTCCTCCTCCTCCTCCACCTCCTCCTCCTCTTTGGGAGTACACCGAATCCAGGGTTCGCCACGGATTTCAAGAGAATTTTGCTGCGAACCCAGGATCTGGGTCAATTTACTGAATTTCGTAGGAGACGCCTTCTGGAAAACGCACGATCGTGCAAAAGAATGACGTTCGGGGTCCTTCGCGTGGCCCTACTCGTCCGGTCGCGCAATGCAAGGCAATGGAAAGCAACGCCTCATCGTTCCTCATCGCACTTCTCGTTCATCCACGCTCTCCTCTTGCCGGGAATTGCGAACCGTTTCCCGTCTGTCGCAAGTCTTTTTGCGGAGGCTCCTCGTCGAAGAACCTCGTGGGGGCCTCGCGAATGCCTCTCAAGGGCTTTGGGGACTTCTGGAGGCCTTCTGGGCGCCTCTTTGGGCTGTTTTGGGGCTCCTGGTGTGTGTCGCGCCCCAGCGCCGCGCGACTCCTCGCCAGCGCGCCAGCGCCGCGGCGTGATGCAAAGAAGCTGCCAGCGCCGCTGACGCGCGGAGGCGCGAGGCCCCGCGCGAAGCCAGCGTCGTGAGGTAGAGATGGAACGAGGCCAAAAATGCACGACGGGATGAACCTCGAGCCCCTTCTACGAAAAACGGCGCCTCTGCACCAGACCATGTTTGGACTTCCTTCAGGCCCCACTCCAACACGGTACGGTGCATAGCTTTCCGGCCCTGAGGGCCGAAAAACTAAGCACCGTACTGCTCCTGTGTCGAGGATCGACTTCGCCTCGGGAGAAGCCAGCGCGGCACGGTACACGCCAACCGCTCGCGGACCTTCAGGTCCCCCTGGCCGCACCCCGCCAGGCCAAAAGCGCTCCCCGTCGTCGTCGTCGTCGTCGTGGTCGTCGTCGTCGTCGTCGAAGGTCCAAGGCCCCACGGCGACCCCTCCCAAAGGCAGCGCAGTCCGAAGTGGGGCGCCCGAGCACGAAGAGCGCCGGCGCACCCCTGCCAACGAAGCAGAGCGCGGTCCTCTTCGCCCTTCGTGCCAGCTGTGCTTCTGAGGCCGGCCGCCCTGGTCGGCACTTCCTGCTCGCGCGATCGCGCAGGCTCGGGCTGTGCTTGCCCGCGCGTCGGTGCGCTCACCAGACCCTGTCGGGAGTCTTCCTTTTGCCTTCTTTGCTACACACGATTGTACCAGTCTCAAGGCGTTGGCGCAATCGCTTTCTCGCACCACCCGCTGGGGTACAGCCAGAGCGTCGCCAGGCCCGCCACATCAGTGAAGCAGTTGCGTAGCAAAACGCATCCATCCTTCCTCCTCTCTTCCCCTTCCTCCTCCCCTGTTCCTCCTCCCCCCCAATGCCTCCTCCTCCTCCTCCTCCTCCCCCCTCCATATCATATCCTTTGCCCTCTTCCTCGCCCAACCTCACCATCCTCCTCGTCAGCCTCATCATGGAACTCCTTCTACCTCTGTTGCTGCTGCTCCTGCTCCCCCTACCCCACCCTCCCCATCCGCCTCCTCCTTCCACTCTATCGTTCCGTTGCTCCTCTTTCCCATTCCATCCTCATCGTCCTCCTGCCCTCCTTTTCGTCATCCTCCCCCCCGTCCGTCCTCTTTTCCCCTCCTCCCCGCCCTCCCCGCGCCCCCCGCGCGTTCCCAGCGCCCCCTCCCTTCCACTCCCCTCCCCTAGAGAGCAGAAAAAAACACACCCCATAATAAGCACCCCGACAAGCGAAGCCGTTTAGTAAACGCACCCAATACAGGAATCGAACAGGGAAGGCCGGTTTAGTAAACACCCAGGGCCGTTCAGTAAACGCCAATTTGGGGGGTCGGAGTAGTTGTTACTCGCTTGACCCCCCCCCCGCCACCCACCCCTTGTCGTCTCACCTCCAGTATGCCTGTGTTGGGCGAGCCACGTGTTTTTCCTATGCGCCGTAGGCTCTGCGACAAGAGTGGCTGGCGCATCCAGCAGCAGCATGCGGCTGGCTGATCAAAAGCTGGCAAATCCAGCAATCTGACCGCCTCGCTTCCAGGACTACCGTGAGCTGAGAAGCACAAAAAAAACTGTATATTGACAAGCCGCCCTCGGAGGACGAAGGAGGCGAGCTGGACGGGGGCGACTCGGGCAGCAGGACACTGAACCGAATGCTGTGCCGCCCGCAGTGCGGCCTCGAGTGGCACCATCAACCCACGCGAACTTCAGCACCGCGCGAAGAGGGCCCCGTGGCCACTCATAACACTACGCTTGACAATACTCTGGAGGCACGCTGAGGCCGGAGGGAAGAATTACCTCTGCCACTTCCGACCGGGCCCCAGGCCCCGTCCGCTAAAGTCTTGTGCTCAGGGGTAGGCCTGTTGCCTCGTCTGCCCCCGAAGGCCTGCGACGCGAGCAGCCGGCAAATCCAGCACGCTGGGTGCGGGTCAGCCGAGCTGTGTCGACTGACACACACACACACACACACCGCTCGCCTCCGCCCCGCGAATTCGAACACCATGCTTTGGCGGCCAATCGCGATGCGCTCGCCTGACAGACTTCGAGGACCGCCCTGGGAGGAGGAGCTAGCAAGCCAAAAACCATAGGATCCCGTGGGGTGCAACATCTCACACAAGACAAACAAGCTCAAGACTTGGATTCAGGTGGCCTCATACGGCAACCTCGTCATGGGCCTCTCTCGCATAAGCGGGGTGCGCACAGCCCCAACGATCGCAGGGTGAGGCGGTAGACCCTCGGGGGTTGGTGGCGCTGACTTGGAGGAGGAGAAGGAAGACAGAATGACTCAAAATCGGCCACATTGCCAATGCCACTTATGGAACACCTTTAGGTTCTGAACAGTGGACGTTGCAGACTGAACATTGCCAGAAGTTCTAGGGTTCGTCGCGTGACCCTCCACCAGTCCGCGAATCATTGGACAACCTTCCTTCAATGTTTCAAAGGGTTTGGCTCCAGATCAGATTGCGGGCCCGGCCGAGTCCTCGGGAGCCCTCCCTCCCAAGATGGCCCCAGGAACGTCACAGGCCTCTCAGACAGACCCCAGAGGCCCACACTAGGCCTCCGAGAGGCATCCAAGGTGCTCCCCACAGGCTCCAACGAGATGCCTCCAGGCCTCGCACCTACATGATAATCAATAGAAGTACCGCTCAGCCTGTGAGAGGGGACCAAAGTTGGGAGGGGACCAGAGTGAGGAGCGCCAGAATCATTAGGGCTCGTTTTTTGCAGCTGTCCCAAGCGCAACCACCCCACATGTGTAAAAACCCTGGAAACCGAGGACCTAAGTCAGGCCGGAGCAGAGCAGATCAGATCCTCATGGAGTCCCGGTCACGGTAACGACCTCGGAGCCCGAAAAAACCTGACTGTACTCTGAGAAGGTTCCTTCGAAACCAGACGTACCACAAAGCGAGACTCTAAGGCTCACAGCACGGAAACTGCACTGGCCGACGGGCACCCCTGTGGGCACGCAGCCCTCAGCGGGGGCCCGTACGAAAGGCACGACGACCTGTTCCAGTCCCCCGAGCGGCACTGGAGAAAGACGAGGAGGACAACGGACGGAAGATATGGGGAAACAAAAAGTACCGATACTGCTATTCCCTGGACCTCTCCGGGAGTGCGTTCTGACCAGAACTTCGAGGCGAATCCAGCGGTGGCGAAGATGGCCTCCCAGGAGGCCCCAAAAGGCGAACACGAGAGAACGGTAGCAGTGTCGGCACCTTCTCCCTTCCACCTCTGAAGAAACTCGCGCGGCTTCAGAGACAGCTCCGGGTAAACGTCCGCGCTCGGCCAACGCCGCATAAACTCAGCCGGCCGCCGAGCCGCGCAGCCGCGGCACGGCCCGCAGCTCTGAGGGCGCCTCGCCGGGGCGGCGTCGTCGCCGCCGCCGCTGCCCCAGGCTCCAGGGGTGCGGGCAGGCGGTGATGCCCCATGGCAGCGCGGCAGGGCGCGGAAGTGCACAGCCAACGTGCCAGCAGAAGGAGGGCTGTTACCCCAGCAGCAAGAGCAGCAACAGCAGACGTCGTCTCTCTGCTGTCCGATGAGCCTCGGGGCACAGAAGCTGCCGTCGGCTGCCCCCAAATCCTAAGATTCGGGGCAGCTGGCGGCAATCACATCATGCGGGCTCAAATCATTGGTTGGGTAACGCCTCGGGCGAGTGCCCAGCTGTACTGGACGTGGAAAACCTGAGCGAACCGCTCATGAAACGCGAAAAAGCTCCAACCACCAAACTTTCCACATGCATATTGGAACACATAAATGCACGTAAAACGTCACGTGCAACAACTGTCCGTAACGGATATTTTTTTGCACGTGATGGACCACAAGGTTCTCGTTATTGCCCCGGTCTGGGTCAGGCGCCCAGGCCCGCTGGCCAGGAGGCACGCGACCCCTCGTGCCAGCAGAAGAAGCGCCGAACGTGGAACGCATGGGCTGTTGGCCCCGGCGGGCCTCGGCAACCAGTACCGTAGGCCCGTACCATGAGGATGCACGATAGGGATGCAAGGACCCTGGACGCCCATGTCGAAGCTCTTCGAGCGGGGCGCGGACAGCGAAAGTGGCCAAGGCTGGACCGAGGAGGCAAGGGTGCAAGGGGTACCCTTGGGAAGGTTGCCCATCCTTACTGCAGCGGCGAGCAAGGGGGGACGTGAGAAGGAGCGGGCCTTCTCAGAAGGCTCTGAAGTCCCTGGGCCTTCTGAGAAGTTTCTACGCTTTCCCTGGAGAGAAAATTACTCCGACGGAAGGACCCCACATGATTATCTCTTTAGCTTGCATGGGGGCATCCTCCTGCCACTTCCCTTCTCCCACCTACTCGTGCCTCCTCGTTCTCCTCCTGTCTGCTCCTCCTCCTGCCTCAACCCCTGCCTCTTCCTCCTCTTCGTGCCTCCTCCACCTCCTCCTCCCCTCCCCCTCGTTATGCTTCCACCCCCCCATTCCCCCTGCCCCCCCTGCCTCCTGCCTCCTCCTCCTGCTCTCCCTCTCCCTTCTCCTTCTCCTCCTCCTCCTCCTCCTCCTCCTCCTCCTCCTCCTCATCCCCTGTCCTCCTCCTCTCCCTCTCCCTCATCCGCTTCCTCCTCCTCCTCCTCCTCCTCCTCCTCCTCCTCCTCCTCCTCGTTTCCATATTCCTCCCCCCTCCTCCCCCCCCTCCTCCTCCTCCTCCTCCTCCTCCTCCTCCTGCCTCCTCCTTAGGCCTCCTGCCCCCTCCTGGGGCCTCCTGGGGCCTCTTGGGGCCTCCTGGAGCCTTCTGGGCCTTCCGGGACCTACTGGGGCCTCCTCGGGCATTCCTCCTCTTCCTTTTCCTCCTCGTCCTTCCTCCCCTCAGCCTCTTCCTCTTCCTGCTTTCCTGTCTCGTCCTGCATCATCCCTCCTCCTTTTCCTGGCAATCCTCCTCCTCCTCGTCCTCGTGCGGAAGACGACCCAGAGGAAGCGCACGACGTGCGTCCCAGCCGATACGCGCGGGAGGACGACCCAGAGGAAGCGCGCGCCGGAGGATGACCCTGAGGAGCCACGTGAGCTGCGGGACCCATAGGAAGGCTCCCGCCTGACGCGTCCTCACAATTCGCTCACAGACGAGGGTCCCGCTTGATACTTCTTCCAAATTCAGACCTGAGGAGCCCAAAAGTGACGACAGTTACAGGAATCCGATGACCCGCTCGGATTAATAACATGATCTGCGGGCCCCATAGGGAGGGGGCTCCCGCTTGAGACTTGCTCGCAATTCACTGACAAACAAGGCTCCCGCCGGATACTTCCTCCAAATTCAAACCTGAGGAGCCCAACAATGACGACAGTTACAAGAATCCGATGACCCGCTTGGATTAATAACATGATCTGCGGACCCCATAGGGAGGGGGCTCCCGCTTGAGACTTCCTCGCAATTCACTCACAGACGAGGATCCCAAAAGTGACGAAAAGTACAGGAATCCGATGACCCGCTCGGATTGATAACATGATCTGCGGGCCGCATAGGGAGGGGGCTCCCGCCTGAGACTTCCTCACAATTCACTCACAGACGAGGCTCCCGGTTGATACTTCCTCCAAATTCAAACCTGAGGAGCCCAAAAGTGACGACAAATACAAGAATCCAGTGACGCCCTCGGATTAATAACATAATCTGCGGGCCCCATAAGGAGGGGGCTCCCGCCTGAGACTTCCTCACAATTCACTCACAGACGAAGCTCCCGCTTGATACTTCCTCCAAATTCAAACCTGAGGAGCCCAAAAGTGACGACAGTTTCAGGAATCCGATGACCCGCTCGGATTAGTAACATGATCTGCGGGCCCCATAGGGAGGGGGCTCCCGCCTGAGACTTCCTCGCAATTCACTCACAGACGAGGCTCCCGCTTGATACTTCCTCCAAATTCAGACCTGAGGAGCCCAAAAGTGACGACAGTTACAGGAATCCGATGACCCGCTCGGATGTTACATGGGCTCCATGATCTGCGGGCCCCATAGGGAGGGGGCTCCCGCCTGAGACTTCCTCACAATTCACTCACAGACGAGGCTCCCGCTTGATACTTCCTCCAAATTCAGACCTGAGGAGCCCAAAAGTGACGACAGTTTCAGGAATCCGATGACCCGCTCGGATTAGTAACATGATCTGCGGGCCCCATAGGGAGGGGGCTCCCGCCTGAGACTTCCTCGCAATTCACTCACAGACGAGGTCCCGCTTGATACTTCCTCCAAATTCAGACCTGAGGAGCCCAAAAGTGACGACAGTTACAGGAATCCGATGACCCGCTCGGATTAGTAACATGATCTGCGGGCCCCATAGGGAGGGGGCTCCCGCCTGAGACTTCCTCACAATTCACTCACAGACGAGGCTCCCTCTTGGTGGATGATGGTGATGGGATGATGACCACGGCGTTTGATGATTTTATATGATTGATGATGATGATGATGATGATGATGATGATGATGATGATGATGATGATGATGATGATGATGATGATGATGATGATGATGATGATTATGATGATGATGATGATGATAATGATAATGATGATGATGATGATGATGCTGATGATGATGATGATGATGGTGGTGGTGGTGATGATGACGACGTGATGATGATGATGATGATGATCGTGCGATTCTGATGGTAAATGGTGGTGATGATGATGGGGACGAAGTGGTGAGTCAGCGAGTAGTGATGATGATGATGATGATGATGATGATGATGATGATGATGATGATGATCGTTCGATGCCGATGATGGTGAGTGATCGTGCGATGGTAATGGTGATGCTGATGGTGATGATGATGAGTGGGGAGTGATGGTGATGGTGATGATGATGCGGAGGAGGAAGCAAAGAGGAGCAGAGGAGAGGGAGGAGGACGAGAGATCCTGCGCGGAGGGTGTGCAGAGAAAACAAGAACCCCACTTAGGATGTGGGGAACAACTCAGGCGCGAGGGCTTCTGAGAAGTCCCGCCGCCTTCTGAGAAGGCCTTCTCCTTCTCCCTCCCCCCCTCGCCCGCCGCCGATTACTATGCGGATTGACTGTAAGTCCCCCGACTCGTCAGCGCTCGGGGCAGGAACGGCAGGGCGCGGCGTATGGCAGGACCACCGTGCCCACGCGCGGCGAGAGCACATCTGCACCCGCGCCCTCGCAGCCTGGATTTCCGGGGCGCGACCCCTTGGGGTGCGCGGTCGCACGGAGACGTTCCGCGCGGGGCGTGCGCGGAACAGAAACGCCTCGCAGCCGCGGGGTCGCGGCCCAGGGGCCAAGCCCGCGAGGCCGCGGATACGGATACGTCTTTGCACCCACGACGTGCTATCACCAGGGGCCCAGCATAAGGAGCGAATGGGTTTTTTCTTCGCC